AAGCCCTAGCGCCGCGGCATGGTCCAAACAGCGACAGGCAACGCGAAAACGGCGAGGCTACGAAACACGAAAGGAGATGGGTCAACACAGGCAACACAAGTAACCATCCGAACGAGCGGCGCCATCTGCAACCAGCAACATCACGTACAGGCCAGCCAAAACAAGAAGCAGCAGCAGCAGTGGCAACACCCCAGCACTGTACCACCACACCAGCACCAGCGATCGCAGTGAAGACAGCGCAGAGCATGGCCTTCTGCCAGTCACCCTTCCATCTGATGACCTGCTATGTGTGCGGTATGCCGGGAGATCACTTTCTGAGGAACCCAGCAGAAAACACTAGAGAAGATCGATGCAGGTGTCCTTTCCACCACATGGTCTGTTTTATATGCGGCAGGAATGAGAGCTACGGCGCTGTACCCGCATCGGAAAACACCAGGCTGGCGAGGCAAGCCGGGAACCCCTGCCAGACGAGACGTCACCCGGAACAACAGCAACCACATCAACATCAACAGCAACACCACCAACAGTAGCAATCACAACACCATCAACAGTAGCAACACCGCCAACAACACCAGTAACATCAACAGTAACATCAACAACAACAACAGCAATAGCAACAACAACAACACCAGCCTCAGCAGTGACAATATTAACGCGAGCAGCAACAGGCACAACGATAACACCAGCAACGGATCAAGGCATCCCCGAGTACCGAAGCTTGGCACAGAGGATCGCGGACTACCAGCGGAAGCGACACGAGATTTTCAGCGCAGAAATTTCTAGAAGGCGAGCGCTCACTAGAAGACATGGAAAAATTCTGATATTACGCCAAAGGAGGCAGACGTACAAGAGGTTTCAGCGAGAGGAGGTCTCAGCGATTGTTTCCCTAGAACACGATGACAGGTTGTTTGCACGGACCAAGGTCGACAACACCGAAGTAACCGCTCTTCTGGACACAGGAGCCAGCGTGAGTTGTTGTGGGGCCGGAGCAACGAGATTCCTCGAGAATCGAAGACATCGAGTCGTTAGGCTGCAAAATCGACACGTTAACACAGCAAATGGAGAGAAGACCTCAGTGACGGGGCTCATCACCTTACCCGTCGAGTGGGAAGGCGAGACCAGGAGTATTGAGTTCTATATAGTACCAGCTTTGCAACAGCAATTCTATTTCGGCATCGACTTCTGGAAGGCTTTTGGCTTATCTGTCGCCACCAAAGCAGACACTATTAAGTCTCCGAATAAATGCCAAGCTTTAGATACCATAAGCCAAGGAAACGATAACTCCAAGAGCTACCGAAACTCGTCACTTCAACTGACTGATGTAAAGCAAGCCTCTCTAGGTGAAGGTAAGGAAACATTGCCACATAACACACGCGAAAAGTTCAGCGGATCTATTGAAATCACCTCGTCAACGTCACCTTTACGTAAGCGGCGTCAACAAAAGCAGCAGAGCCAGCTCAACAACGCTGAAACGACAATAGCAGTAGTAAGTCACCGTAACCAGCTATTGCCTTCGGCGACAGCTATTAGCGACATTGCTAATCATGCTAAGCAAAGCGAACTGGCGAAACGTACACGCATCAGTGAAAATTTAAGTAGCCAACATAGTACACGGAAATCTTCAAGGCGTCATCCACCTGCAACTACCGTAACTGCAACCGCTCAGCATCGTAAATCTTGTTCTCAGCCTGCCCCGCAAGCGTACATAAACCAGGCTCCAATGAATCTAGCATCAAGCGGCCGCTCAACGATGATAAACAGTGAACTCAAATTCTCTACCAACACGAGTAGTGGAAGTAATAATGATGGCAGCAGTAGTCGAACACCTTTCGACTTGGCCACGGAAGCGTTGAGAGGTTCACGACCCATAGATCGCGAAAGGTTGCTAAACTTGTTGCAAAGGATTGCAAATGAAAGTCAAGAGTATCGAATGCAAAACCAACTACTCAAAGGGTTGCTCGACTTACGGAATGGACAGATTAGACAGCTTAGTCACAAGGTGCAAGTTCGATGACACCAGCTAAAAGACAGCTAGCTAGCTAGTAGTATAACACACCAAAGATATTCTCTTCTCTAAAACCTCTTGAGTATACACCGAAGTTGCCCGGCTAACTCAGTCGGTAGAACAGAGACTCTTAAACTCAGGGCGTGGGTCGAAGCCACACGTTGGTCCGTAGTAGACGGTCGTTGAGGGTATAGTCGGTCTGTCCGCGGACTTTTTGACGTACACATTCCATATCGCAGGCGATATCGATGGGTCCGAGCTGTAACGGCCGCGAACAAACCTTGGGTAGGGTGTCTGTCGGTCTGTGTCAACCGCAAGCGGAGCAATAACGGCATGCCGTTAGACAAAATCATGCGATTTTGTGGTACCGCTAGTAAATCGCATGATCTTGCGGTATATGTGTTTATTATTTTATTTTCTTTTTCTTGTCTGATCTCCTTATTCGCAAGTACAGTCAAAATCGTATGATTTTGCGGTACCATTGCTTGCTTTTGCAAGTACAGTCAAAATCGTATGATTTTGCGGTACCCTTGCTTGCTTTTGCAAGTACAGGCAAAATCGTATGATTTTGCGGTACTCCTTTTTTTCCTTTTGCTCTTGCAAGCATAGGCAAAATCGTATGATTTTGCGGGATCTATGCTTGCTCTTGTGAGAGTAACGGCAAGCCGTTATAGAGAGAGAGCAACAGGAAGAAGAAGAGGGAAATGAAATGAAAAGGAGAAGTCTGTCTGCGTTTCAAAAATTAAAGTCAGAGGATAGAATTCTGAGTTGAAGTCAGTCGGAGTCAGGCACTCGCTGAGTGCAGTTCTTGTCGCGCTTTATCCATTAACAGTCAGATGTTAGACTTCAGTGTGAACGGTCGATTTTCTAGTGGGCAAAAGTGTATAAATCGCAAAAGAAAAACTA